CCACCCTCTCCTCCCTCCCACCCCCCATCAACCCTCAGTTTGCTCTCAGTTCTCAACAGTCTCTTATGCTTTGGCTCTCTCCCACTCTAACCTCTTTTTTTTTTTTTTCCTTCCCCTCCCCCATGGGTTCCTGTTAAGTTTCTCAGGATCCACATAAGAGTGAAACCATATGGTATCTGTCTTTCTCTGTATGGCTTATTTCACTTAGCATCACACTCTCCAGTTCCATCCACGTTGCTACAAAAGGCCATATTTCATTTTTTCTCATTGCCACGTAGTATTCCATAGTGTATATAAACCACAATGTCTTTATCCATTCATCAGTTGATGGACATTTAGGCTCTTTCCATAATTTGGCTATTGTTGAGAGTGCTGCTATGAACATTGGGGTACAAGTGCCCCTATGCATCAGTACTCCTGTGTCCCTTGGATAAATTCCTAGCAGTGCTGTTGCTGGGTCATAGGGTAGGTCTATTTTTAATTTTCTGAGGAACCTCCACACTGCTTTCCAGAGCGGCTGCACCAATTTGCATTCCCACCAACAGTGCAAGAGGGTTCCCGTTTCTCCACATCCTCTCCAGCATCTATAGTCTCCTGATTTGTTCATTTTGGCCACTCTGACTGGGAAAAGATATTTGCAAATGACATATTGGACAAAGGGCTAGTATCCAAAATCTATAAAGAGCTCACCAAACTCCACACCCGAAAAGCAAATAACCCAGTGAAGAAATGGGCAGAAAACATGAATAGACACTTCTCTAAAGAAGACATCTGGATGGCCAACAGGCACATGAAAAGATGTTCAGCGTCGCTCCTTATCAGGGAAATACAAATCAAAACCACACTCAGGTATCACCCCACTGATTTTTATCCATGTTGTTTTGCCCCTTTATGTGCTTAATTACCTTTTTCTGTCAGACACTGTATTTGAATTTATTTAATGAAATAATTTGAGACTTAGGTTGATATTATCTTCCTCCAGAGTACATTTTCCATTTACTTCTGTGAGGCACCTGGAGGTCTTAGCAATCCAAGGTCGCTACTTTTTTTCAGCTACCCAGATGATTTGAAGTTGAGCTGTGGTCTGTGCAATGATTGGCATACTTCCAATCTACCCTCTCACCTAGTGCAGCCCTTTAAGATTTCAACCCAAAATATGGGGGTTTTGCCACAGTCTCTACCACTGATAGTCCTAGACTCCAACATTTTTAGCCCATCCATTTTTAGCCCTGGGTTAAAATGGATGCTTCTCATCCACTTCTTTTGGATCACTAATTGTACCCAGCCCCCAAATGCCTTGTTCCTAGATCTTGGCCTAGTAATTCTTCACTACTTTGTTAGCAATTCAGTTCCAGTTTACGTTTTGCCTAGCTTTATTAATTGGCATCAGTAGGAGAACTGTTCTGAATTACCTACTCTGTCCATAACTGAAGATATTTTCAAGCCTTTTATTTCCTTAAAAGATAAAAAAACAAAAAAAATAGTTTTATAATCTGTAACTGGTATTTACAAAGTCTTTCAATTCCAGTTTCAGCTAGTTATTACTCATAATGATTCATTTAGTTTTGTGTCCCTTTTTTGGACTGTGGCTACTTGTTCTTATAAAGTCATTTGAGAGAAATTATCTGAAGCCTAGGATAAAGGTGTCTTTTTCAAATGAGGATTTGCATCTATTTCCTTCTGCCAAGTTCCTAGGGACATCACTGATCAATCTGGAACTACTTTAAACTCACTTCACTATTTGAAATAATACAGATGATGTGAATTTGAGCTACAAGTCGACACCAGGGTTGGATTATAGTAATAACTTCTGCATTATACCAAGGCACTTCTTTTGCAGTCTCAGAGGATGGGGTGAGAGGGTTTATGATTATATCATGGAATAGGTTATGGTAGTCTATCTTTGTTAAGAGAAAATCTAGTAGATTTCACACCTTAGGCAGCCCTAAGGATTTTACTTTTGTCTCCACTTCATGAGGCCTGCAAATCATAATTCACATTTGCCAGCCTGGCAACTCCCCTTGGGGCATTTAGTTATAACTGAATACAACTTCCCAAATTCTTGGTTTTTCTTTGGCCTGGTAATTTTTCAATTCCTTCTTAGCAATTTGATTCTTTTAAGAAAGTTACTTTTGATTTTTTCCTGTATTTTTAAATGTTTTTGTTAGTAGAATAGGTACAAGTACCCTAGACCACCAACTTTTTTTTACAGAACTAGGTAGAATTTGTTAAGAACTGTAACATATGCAACACAGCTTACAAACTCTTTCTTTTTAAACAGAAACAGAGAACCCAAAAAGTTGGAAGGGACCTGAGACAAAGAGTAAGTACTACAATACTCATGTTTCCTCAGTTTTCTGATCTCTCTCATTACAGGAATGTTTTTGTACATCACAAGTTTAACCTCTTAGTTCTTACGTAGTTCTCAGAACTTCAGAAAAAGTATCTAAGCAAAACTGTATCAAAGCACTAACAGAAAGCATCAGTGTGTTGAGATCTCAATTAGGAGGGTGAAGAGCTCAAGATTCATCTCCCACCATTCCTCAGTGAGTGCTTGCTCAAGTTCCACCAGTCTCACCCTTGTCACTTCTAGGCTGTCTTCAAATCCTTCACTGGGTACCTGGCTTTGGCTCTAATGATTTTGTTACTCCAGGCAGTTTTCCAAACAAAAAGGAATGGTTATTTACAATTTCTAGACTGAAATCATAAATATCAGCTGAATTATACTGAAATGTCAGTATAACTCTATGAAGAGAATTTCACATAAAGTGAGTCTGTCCTGGCTAAGTAAAAAGGATTTGTTATAAAAATAGCAAAAGGATCTTATTGTAGGTAAGTTTAGACTCTCAGGTGGTCCTGCAGTGTATACTCTAAGGACAGCTTTACAGCAAGGTTTCTGACACAGACCATTTAGACTGGGAGCCAGACTACATTTTTCTCCCCCAAATTATAAGGAATCAGTAGTATTCCAGTAAATTGCTCCTTTGTGAACAGAATAACTTTACTTAGATTTTCATACTGAATACCTTTCTTACATAGATCATTTTACTTTTTCCTCAAAAATTCTGTGATTACTTCAATCTAAAACAATATTCATGAGATAAGGTGCACATGGTTGTGTCTTCAAGTAAACTGTAGTCCGAAGTATAATTACCCTTTATAAAAATAAAAGTAATTAGTATGTGCTAATTTAAAAAACAGACATTTTTCTAAAGCATATCAAGCCTCCAAACACTCCATCTAGCACACGTCTGACGATTAGCAGTCTCTGAACTCTCCGACACTCTGAAAGGGATGTGTTATACTGAAGAACTGACTCTTTGTGGCTCTGCTGCTCTAGTTCCTACAGAGGACTGTACTGTCTGATGCCAAAATGCAGCTGAACACTATCTTGTAAAGGTAGTCATTCATATGCTTAAAAACCCAGTAATTCCACCCCTGAGGCATATGTCCTAGACAAGAGCAATGATTCTCAAAATATGACCCTTGGACCAGCAGCATCAGTGTTACCTATGAAACACAAATTCTTGTGACCCACTGAGTCAAAAACCCAAGGTGGGGTGTGTTTTAACAAGTCCTAGGTGATTCTGATGTAGACTAAAGTCTAAGGCTCCCCACTTTGGATAAATTCTTGCTCATTTGCTCTGATACATGAATGTCTGAGCAGCACTGTTTCTAATCTCTTTTTCTTTCTCTCTCACACACACCCCATACACATTCAACCCTGAATGAATTCAATCCTGAAAAACAATGTCCATGTCAGGAAAAGAGATTTTAAAAACTGTGTAATAATTAACACAGTGAAGTACTCACTATACAGCAGAGAAAATGAATGAAAAACAGGTACATTGTAAACCTAAATAAAACTTAGAATCATAATTTTGATTGAAAAACTGACAGAAGTCTACAGTATATTTTATAAAGTTCAAATACAAGCAAAACAGTAATATATTACTTAGGAAAACATTCATTTGATAAAGAAATAAAGCTCTTAAAAACCAAAGAAATATTCTTCTTTTTAAACAAAAAAAGACAGAAAAGATACTGCCTTAATACTGTACAGTATTTCCTTCAGGGGAAGCAGAAACAGGAATGGGATATGGAAGGATCGCATTGGGAACCACAGAGGTACTGGGAACAGTCTAGTTTTTAAGTTTCATAGTAAGTTCATAGGTGTTCATTATATTTGGGTTATTTTTGTCACTACATTCTTTTTGTAGATCTCAAATGTTATAAATATTAAACCCAGAAAACAAAAAACAAAAAAATTTAGATAATAAACAAAGATAGCTATTACATCAAATAGAAAAATTAGAAACCACCAAAGTGATATAAATTGTGTAAACTATGGTATGTTCATTTAGTTACAATGAATTTTTAAAGACACAGGAAAATATTCATGATACAGGTAGTCAGATAAAATAATGTAAGAAATGTCCAGTAAAAAGATTAAAAGAAAATACAATAAAATATCAACAGTGGGCATTATAGGGAGTTTATTTCTTCTTGATATATTTAAAGTTTTCTATAGTGAATAATAAAGATCATTTAAAGATCATTAAGAATGTTTTAACTGTCACAAAAACATTTATGACTCTAAGTCATTAAAGAAAACTGCCAAATCTTCTTTTGGAAACAGTAAGGAAATTGGTGCTTATGGAAATCTGGTTGTGATTTATGAGCTTTATAATTTAAAGTTTTACATTGTCTGGCATAAAATTGTATATCTTTATTACTGTGATTCCTTTTAAATTTATTTTATTTTGTTTGTGTGTGGAAAAATATGACTTGTTTTTGCTGTTGAGGATTTCAATTAAAATGACTAAAAACTATACCAAATTAATCAGAAACAAAAGGAAAAAACAATCCATCAGTGGTCACCAGCTTTTGGAAACCCAGAAGAAATGCATAAGTGAGCGTCAGCCTTATAATCCTATGCCCTGTCATAGTGAGAAAGAATCATGAAGATTAAGGCCAAAGGCCAGAGATTAGTTACATACCTTTTTTTCCAATATTCTAGCGATCTCGCCTAGGGTCCGATCTAAAGCAGAAACCTTATTGTTTGCCCATGAGCCACTGTCTTGTACTTGTAGTTGTTTTAGAAGATCTTTGGCTAATCGCTGAAGTCTTCAATACAAAATGAAAGGGAAGAATGACATTAATGAATTAGACTATGATATTTCATTTTCCTAAACCTTTTGAAACAAAAGCTACTTTCATTATTGAAGTAGAAAGTGCTTCACAGAACACCTTTGGGGAGGAACAAACAAAACCATTCCTAGTCCTCATGGTACAAAACAGAACTAGAGGACAGTACTGTCCATCTAGATTAGCTAGGACATTGCTACTATCAATTTCTGTGTGACACTTAAACTAGAACAGAACTGCAGATGGGGAGAAGGTGAGGCAATGATGGCAGAGAAAATGAGTATAAGAAACTCAGCAGGTTTTCATACTTTGATTTATATCTTCAAGGTAGGCTTGGATATTATTTTGTAAGCACTGTAGACTCTCAAAATGTCAAACTCCCACGTTCCAATTTACAAGTAATTTGGAGATTGCCTGCCACTGCTGATGTCATTTACTTAGACGACAGAGCAACATTTGCTTTTCACCAAAAAATAAACACGTTACCTAGACTGTAGGATTCCTGCAAGTGAACTATGTGTAGTATTTCTTTGTGGCCCTTACTTCTTCTGTCTCATGTACCTCACTCTGAGCAATCCTCTTCTCCTTTCCACTTACTCGCTTAAGTAGCCCACTGACAGATATTCACCAGAAACCCTTCCAGATCTCTCCACTTCTCCCCTATACATCATCCCCCTGTTGTCTCACTTCCATTTTTATCTGTGATAGATTCTGTAGGCCAAGATTATAGTCACTTTCTGCTAAACATGCTACATTCCCTTTCTGTTGTTCTATTTGTTACTCCTACCAGTCAAATGGCAGCAGTGGTGATAATCACTAATATTTAACTCTTACTGTGGGCTGGCACCACTCTCAGTGTCGTGATGTATTAATTTATTTAGCTGGATAATTACCATCTAGCAAGCCTTTTCCATCTCTGATCTTTCTATGACTATAGATTCAGGATCTTACTAAATCTGTCTAATCTGCTCACTCTCCATAAAGGCTTGCTTCATACATTATCCATTCTCTTCAAAACTCCATCCTTTCCTTTCTCCCTCTTGTTTTCAAAAGAAGATCTTACATTTCGGAGTGAAAATGGAACTACTAGAACAAGAAAATCTTTACTTTCTGCCACAAAACCTACAAGCCTACCTAGATTTCACCCATACTCTCCTTTGCCTCTCCTATTACAATCAAAGAAGACCGATTCTGCCCATGTAGGGCTAATCCTGCCACACAGACTCTGTGTACATGAAGTCTTTCTGGATCAAAATTAACTCACTTCGTCTTCCTTCAGTGTCTTTGCAAATGCTCTTCATTCATTCCTTCTGAAATGCTTCCTTCACCTCCACATTATCTAGAAAATTTCTATGTATCCTCAGGTTTTCAGTTCAAACATTACTTTCTCTGATTTGACTATTCCTTCAAAGCACTCATCACAAGCCTTTCCCATTCAGAACTTTATGCAATGATGAGAATGTCCCATATCTGGACTGTACAATATGGTGGCTGCTAGCCAAATGTGGCTCTTGTGCACCAGAAGTATAGTTAGTGAGACTGAGGAACTGAATTTTAAGTTGCATTTAATCTTAATAATTTAAATAGTCACATATAGCTAGGAGCTATTATACTGAACAGTACAGAAGCATAGTATTAACTTCATGAAAGACGGCTCGTGTCTACCTATTCATTGCCTTATTAACAGCACCGAATGTGCTATCTCTACATAAGTGCACTCAACAGGTATTTAATGATGAATGGGCTAGGAAGAAATTTCTTCTTTAGTCTTAATAATATCCATATATTACAACATAATGTACATGATCTTATATAATCCTATGAAAACAATGTCCATTAGTCTTATTCCCATTTGAAAAAAATGAAGAAACCAAGGCTCAGGCAAATTCAGTGACTTTCCCAAGGTTTCACAACTGGTAAAAGGTATTAGTGGGGTTAGGCCTGTGATCTCAAATCTGCTTTTGTCTCCAAACCATATTAGTCAGTTCAAATAAGGAAATTTTCTTCACAAATAAATAATACCACAGAATACAATTTCACCTAAATAATATTTGTGTAAAAATGTTAAATTTCTCAAAGAATACAACAGCAAATGCAGCTCAAAAAGGCACTGGTGAACTACAGTTTAAACCTAAGCTATCCAACATGAATTCAGCAAAGTTGTAGGAAACAAAACCAATGTACAGAAATCAGTTGCATTTTTATACACCAATAATGAAGCAACAGAAAGACAAATAAAGAAACTAATCCCATTCACAATTGTACCAAGAACCATAAAATACCTAGGGATAAACCTAATCAAAGGTGTAAAAGATCTGTATGCTGAAAACTATAGAAAGCTTATAAAGGAAATTGAAGAAGACACAAAGAAATGGAAAAACATTCTGTGCTCATGGACTGGAAGAATAAATATTGTTAAAATGTCAATACTACCCAAAGCTATCTACACATTCAATGCAATCCCGATCAAAATTGCACCAGCATTCTTCTCGAAACTAGAACAAGCAATCCTAAAATTCATATGGAACTACAAAAGACCCCGAATAGCAAAAGTAATATTGAAGAAGATGACCAAAGCGGAAGGCATCACAATCCCAGACTTTAGCCTCTACTACAAAGCTGTAATCAAGACAGTATGGTACTGGCACAAAAACAGACACATAGACCAATGTAATAGAATAGAGCCTCTAGAATTGGACCCACAAATGTATGGCCAACTAGTCTTTGACAAAGCAGGAAAGAACATCCAATGGAAAAAAACAGTCTCTTTAACAAATGGTGCTGGGAGAACTGGACAGCAACATGCAGAAGGTTGAAACTAGACCACTTTCTTACACCATTCACAAAAATGAACTCAAAATGGATGAAGGACCTGAATGTGAGACAGGAAACCATCAAACCCTAGAGGAGAAAGCAGGAAAACCTCTCTGACCTCAGCCGCAGCAATTTCTTGACACATCTCCAAAGGCAAGGAAATTGAAAGCAAAAATGAACTATTGGTACCTCATCAAAATGAAAATCTTCTGCACTGCAAAGGAAACAACCAACAAAACTAAAAGGCAACCTATGGAATGGGAAAAGATACTTGCAAATGACATATCAGATAAAGGGCTAGTATCCAAAATCTATAAAGAACCCACCAAACTCCACACCCAAAAACCAATCCAGTGAAGAAATGGGCAGAAGACATGAATAGACACTTCTCTAAAGAAGACATTCAGATGGCCAACAGGCACATGAAAAGATGCTCAATGTCACCCCTCATCAGGGAAATACAAATCAAAACCACACTGAGATACCACCTCATACAGGTCAGAGTGGTTAAAATGAACCAATCAGGAGACTATAGATGTTGGCGAGGATGTGGAGAAACAGGATTTCTCTTGCACTATTGGTGGGAATGCAAACTGGTACAGCCGCTCGGGAAAAGTGTAGAGCTTCCTCAAAAAATTAAAAATAGATCTACCCTATGACCCAGCAATAGCACCGCTAGGAATTTACCCAAGAGATACAGGAATGCTGATTCATAAGGGCACTTGCACCCCAATGTTTATAGCAGCACTTTCAACAATAGCCAAAGTATGGAAAAAGCCTAAATGTCCATCAACTGAAAAATGGATAAAGAAGATGTGGTTTATATATACGATGGAATACTACTTGGCAATGAGAAAGAATGAAATATGGCCATTTGTAGCAACATGGATGGAACTGGAGAGTATTATGCTAAGTGAAGTAAGTCAGGTAGAGAAAGACAGATACCATATGTTTTCACTCTTATGTGGATCCTGAGAAACTTAACAGAAGACCGGGGCGGGGGTGGGGGGAGTTACAGAGAGGGAAGGAGGCAAATCATAAGAGATTCTTAAATACAGAGAACAAACTGAGGGTTTTAGGGTGTGGGGGAAAGGGAAAGTGGGTGATGGGTATTGAGGAGGGCACCTGTTGGGATGAGCACTGGGTGTTGTATGGAAACCAATTTGACAATAAATTTATATATATATATACATTGCCAAAAAATAAATAAAAATAAATAAAAATAAATAAATCTAAGCTATCCATACGAAGTTTACTTTGATAAGTCAAAAGAATGAATATAAACTCTAATATCAGACATACCTTTGCTTGAATTCTGGCTCCAGTACATACCACATATATAAACTCTGGGACAATTACTTAACTACTCTGAATCTCAATTTCTTCACCTTAAAAGTGGAGATTTTATATGTGTAATATATATATATTTATCTTATATATATCTCCTTTTCTTTCCTTTCAGAGCTTTTGAAGATCAGAGACAAATAATGTAATGTACTTAACACCATTCAGGAGTAAAGGAGACATTCAATAAATGATCAACTATTATTACTATTCATTGACAGAAGGTCTCAATCTAACACAAGGAAAAAGGGAATATAAAAAACACAGACACAGAATAAGAACAACATACTTCTTTTCCCTTTTAATCGAATATGGGCTGGAGTCCCATCCGATTAAAGTTACTGACCTTATCATGTTGAGGAATATTGGCAATGAAGTTTATTGTGTGACAGATAAGTAGCCACTTCAGCTTTTGGCTGAATAAAGCCTGCACACCATGTAACTAAATATCCAGCCATAGCCATGGATGCATATGAATCTAGCAGTATTCTTACCAAGAATGCTCACATTCCACTGAAAATCAGGGGTACTTAGGGAGGCACAAGGACCATTTTAATTCACAGAATACAAGAGGCTTGTATTTCACCCTGAGGTAAATCAAATCTGGGATTCATATGAACCTACCCTTCAAGGAAGAATGCCAAATCAAGGGGATGCTTTGGTAACATGAGATAAACCTCTGTTTTATTCCCTGCCTCCACAGAAGTACCACAAATAATATAGCCCCTTTCAAAAAAAAGCATCAGATTTTGATTCATACTATGAATAATTATAGACTGTCGGGACTCAGGCCCTGAAAGTTATATTTTCCCTACAGGGGA